ATGACAAATATCTGTCCACCTCTCTTTATTCCAAACCTACTGATCGGAATACATTATTTCACGCTGGAATACAATAAAAAATAAAAATAATTTAAAGACTCTACAAATGGCAAGATTATTGATGTAAAAGTCCTTATTACCTGCAAAAATAACATTTTGGTCCACATGATAGAGCCTCCATGCAACAAAATATATCAAGGAGAAACCTCCCGTCCTCTGAAAGAACAAATGAACAAACACGGATGTTGTATTTAGAGGAATGATTTAACCAGCCCTGGTACAAGCCATTGTAATAAAAAAAACATTGTAGCTCGCCTTTATTCTTTGTAGGCATTGGAAGCTATTGAGGCATTCCGGATATTCCGTTTAAAGAGTGTATTAACGGGTATGAATAAGGATCTATCTGTTAATGAGTTTCTGTGGTTTTTGTTTTTATATGTCTAGAAAAAAATGGTAATGTAAATAAATTCATTTTTACAGTTCCTGTGATTGTTGTCTAATTTGAACTAGTTTGTGTTTTTTTTTTTTGCACATCTGGGAATGAACCACTTTAAGATGTATAAGGTAACATCCCTTTTAAATCTGTAGTGGTTCAGTCAAGAGCTTAGTTGAACTTTGGTTCAAGCATTCAAGCATCATCAGCTTGAATGCTTGGTCAGCCTACTTGCGTGTTAATGGGTGATTAGTTGGTTTTATTTTTTTCTCTGGAGTATACTTCTTTTTTTAGTTAAACACAAACTGTTTGGTGTTTTGTAATGACCACGATCAAGGACACAAGCTCAACAGCGTTGGTCTGTTGATAAAGTTGTTCCCTGGTGTTTTAAGTGTTGCTGGACCTTTCATCTCACAAAATTTCAGAATATTGAAATTTTGTCTTTCATTTAAATATACTTACAGTTGAAATCTAGGAATTTAATTTGTTTTCTTTTTTACCAAAGTTTTTCATGTCCTTATAATGGCTCTGATATTACTCCTCCATCATTTATTTACCATTTCCTTTCCTTTTTCTTCATTTATTTATTTATTTATTCTAAAATTGTGTGAATTGATATCGATTATCCACAATAACCTTCTCCACTGTAATTATAATCCCACGTGTTTCTGAAAATATCTTGGGTGTGCCAGCTGCCCACTGTTGACACCGCCTTGACCCTTATCCTTTGCTGTATTAGAATAGAATTCAACTTTATTGTCATTGCACATGCACAGGTACAGGGCAACGAAATGCAGTTTGCATCCATCCAGAAGTGCTTTAGTGATATAGATATATTACAATATATATTAGCAATAATATAGATATGTGAGTATATTACAGAAATGGGTCTATTATGGTATGT